TAGCTATGATGGACATTATTCTGGCTATGAGGCGACGATTTAATGCGAAACGCCGAATGTATACTGCTAAATAACACCATCTTTTCGCCTCTCGCATCTAGTCGGGACGGGGGAACGTGGTCATAAATGTAAACAAACAGGCGAGCAGCTAGTTAACAGCTTGTATGTCATTATTAAATACAAAAGAGAATTTTGCCTCTTTTTACAAAATATTATTTACAATTTACGGTCTTTTTTTAATCGTTTTACATTATTAAGATATTTTTTGCATTACTAAAACGATTATCTATTATAGCTTATGGTTTTAACCAAAAAGCCGACGGAAAGTTTGCCAGCGAAAACGATAATTATCGTTTGACTGGAAATTGTCGCATTCGGCCAATATGCCAGCGGTATCGAAACAAACAAAACAAAAAACACGGAAACGTGAAAGAACCACGGGAATATCCCTAGTGTGACCCCCCTCTCTCTCTCTCCTCCCCCCCTCTCTCTCAAATTGCCTTGTGCTGTCAGTGTATTTTAGCCTTTGGATGGTATTATGGCAAGTCTTGGCCCTAGTATTAGGGAATTCTTAAATGACAGAAGGCCCACACGTATAAGGATTCCTGTTTATCGAGAAATGTAGACAATATAGTGAAAGTGCTTTTTAAAAAGATGGGTATCTCTACTGTCCAGAAGGAATGGCGAGGAGTTAAAAAAAAACTTGACTGCTTGTTACTGGTAAAATTATAAGAAAGGAGGCAAAGACGGTTTAGATTACAATATAAAGTGTGTATTTTAGATTTATCTGACTCAATTGGTATAACCGATAAAGACTCATCTGGATGAAATTCATTCTTGAACTTACATTCACTCGTGTACTATCTACAATTCGTAACAATCCGGCATAACCACCAATTTGTCGATTTTGAGTTTTAACAATGTCTGTTTTGCTCAAAGGTATGTGACTGTAGCATCATGACGTTGTTAAGGCTTCTACAATTATTGAAAAACTTTGCACCCAATTTCTGTAAAACTTACTTTTTGCACATAGCGCCGGTTCTTGAAAACACGGACGAATTTACACCATAATTTAGTATAATCCGTTAATGCATCTAGTATAATCCGTTTTAGGGGAGGCCTCATTTTGCGCATGGAGGTTGATAATCAATTATACATTGCCCTACTCAACTATACAGTTAATGAGGAATGTTCTTCCATCCCCAGGTGATAACACTTCCATAATTATAATAATTGATTTTCATCACAATTTATTGGCATCTTTATATTTTGGTATTTTCTATTTTTCGGATCCCTTTCGTTATCATAAAATGTCATGATAATGAAAAAAAGGGGGGGGGGATATAGGTGATTGGTGTATATACATTAGCAGCTATGAGTCGAAACATAAGTTATGTTGGACTAACTCATGACAAAACATGACATTGGTTACGCTTCGAGTCAGTCAGTTTTGGTACTTGGCTAAGCGGGATATAATTATGCTTGCTACGATTGGATTTATGTTCAAGTTACAAAGAACATCCAACAGGCAAAGATATTTTAGTCCATATCTCTATGTAGAAGTTTTTGGAACGAACTTTATCATTTTTTCCGAGTTTCCTATTGCCATGAAATTGACGAAACAAAGCAATGTGAAGGATATGACCGGCGCGAGAAAGAGCAAACAGCGGATTAAAAATCAAATGAAAAGTACGAGGAATTGAAGGATTTCTCTCTCTCTCTCTCTCTCTCTCTCTCTCTCTCCCTCTCTCCCTCCTCTCTCTCTCTCCCTCTCCCCTCTAATCCGCTCCCGCCCCTTTCTTCTTTACACTTTTCCTACTCCTTATCCTCTCTCTCCCGCCCTTCTCCTTCCCTCTCTCCCTACAGTAACGCCTCTCTCCTTAAAGGCTAGGATCCTCCAAGTCGATAGGATGGAGCTATTACCGCAAAGAAAATTGAAAGACGTTTTGATACTTCATAGAGCAAGAATGGAACGCCATTGATGATCTGTTTTCAATGCAACATCCCCTGATGGTAAATACCTGTTCATGCGCTGGATAATAAGTGAATGGTGGGAGTTAGGGATGTAAGTGAAGTTACCCTGCATGTGGAAGTGGAACGGTAAGCTCAGAAACAAACAAACAAACAAAAAAGAAGATTTTTTAATAGCAACTTGTGCAACACGTGTTCTCTAATTATTCTGCGTTGAGATATTTACATTTTTGGGTTTGTTTTCAATACTACAATAGTTCTTTTTATGCTTATTGTCAAATGGATCGAGGTTTTATATTTTTTCAGTATTCATAGGATCCTGATTATCTATAAATTATTTAGTTTCACCCAAACAAGTATTGTTACCCTTCGGCTGTATAGTAAATTCTTTCACATATTTGTGATGAATATAGGATCTCGCCAAGACCAGAGATGGTGTCTGTTTTACTTCGTATTTAACGCTTCCAACTAATTTAGTAAAATTGTAGTCTAGCACATTTATTTTAACCATTAACCATTAGGAAAATCGTATCCAAACAAACCTTCCGTTAGGTGTAGTTAGGGACGGAGTGACCAAGTTTACATGGTGTCGATGACCTAACAAACGTTGGATTTGTATATTGACTCAAAAATGCTTTCGTGTCAGAGTATTCAAAATAAAGCTTATATTCAATCAATCGTGTACATAGAAACAACAGATACATGCAATGAAGTCCGACACAGAATACATATTTGTTTTTCTCTCGTCTTAGGTCAGGTCATCTTCTTTCTGTCAATTGTCTTACTAATAACGTACCTTGAAGTCTCTTACTGTGCAGATATTATATATTTATAAATCTTACATGGTCGTGTTTCAGTGATGAACAATGGAAAACAGGAGAATGCAGCAAGAGGAAGGCAATAAATATTTGACTGCGTACTATTTACGATGAAAAAAATATCGCAACCATTCGCTGCACAAGAAACTGAGTGACGAAGAGAATGTATGTTACAAGACATTTAGATTAAAAGTTTTTTTTTTCTTCTGTGAGGAAAATATGCACATTTAGGAAAAAAATTATATGCAAACTAAATGTTCATGTATACAAAAAAGTGTCGATGCAAAATACATAATGAAGGTGAAATCTGAGGTTGAGGGGTTCAATAAATAAACATGTAAATACAACAATTTTTTATTGAATCTATATTTACAAAAAGAAAATAACAATCCAACATCCTTGGCGGTACCATAGAGGGTGCAGCCATTTCTTGTCTATGGAATATATAAGTAACATGGCAACAGTGGAAATTGACAAACAACGAAATTGTTGGTCTCTGGTTTATCTCTGGGAAAAATAATGGAAATTATGATTTGTAATTATGAAATAACATCTTTAACACAGCCAAGGTACTTCATTTAAGCTGCCACAGTCTTAAGTCACAGAGGCAAAAGGATCAAAGTCCATTGCTCACAAAGGCTGAAGATATGCAAACAAGAGTGCATTTTGGTCAGCAATTCATTTACCGTACAACAAGAGGTAAAAACCTGGAAACAGGTATCAGCAAAAATAGGTGAACTTTAGTTCCATTGTATATAGGCTATAACAAACAACAACTCAAACTCGCTATGTCTTACACAAACAACCATTTCGCACAATTCGTTGTTTAACAATAATCAAGCTTCTCTCTCTCTAATCCATGGGAGACTATTAGTTACAATATTACCCTTTAATAATAACCATAACAGATCAAGTGACGTGCATAGTCAAACTATTGCTGTGCACTAAGCAACTTAACGTTATGCAGCAATGGGTCTCCGTTGACATCCAACAGTTGCAACAAAATAGGCGTCGAAGGTGATGTGGAAGCTGCAGTCTTAAGAAGCAGCTTTTCTAACAACATAAAAGGATGATGGGTAGCTAGGCTTGGGGGAACATAACAGTAAATTTCTCTGAGGACATGGTTATGAATTTTAGTGACGAGGAAAAAAATTGTCAAGCATAACACTGATATATTTGGATCAGGTCCACACTCTCTTGAACAAGTCCCATGTTGTCCCAGCCTGTGTACCCATGTGGGGCACCTGGCCCACCTACAACTATGCTCTTTTGCAACAAAATATGATACCTACTATAAACACTACCCAAATGACATCTAAATGCACAAGGGTATAACATCTCTATAATAACGACTAAAACATCACATGTCTAAAAATAAATAACAGCTATCTATAGGGTTCACTATACCTATCACAATGACATTGCATGAGAATGAAGCGATTCTGGGTGATGTGACTCAATCTCACGCCCACACACCTGCAGGTGCAACGACACCTTATGGAGGCGAAAGTGGTTGCGGGGGCGTGGGCAACGACCCCTAACAGGCCTACAGGCTTCAAGTGCAGTGCAACCCATGTGAGGCCGTGAGGGCTCTCGACCCCACTGACCATAGCACCAAAAGCACGGCTCTTGCGTGACTCGATGACTCTATCCTACAGCAACCTTGCACGGACTCACTACTCGATTTACGTCCAACGTACACACACACACACACATTTGCGCACACACACTGTCTTTTTCACAGTAATGTGCACCTACAGATTACAAGTGAGCATGTGACCCACGGGGCCGCAGTTCACAGCAGTTTAAGCGTTGTACCCTCAGTGTCTGGGTAGTCCCCCACCCAGGAGTCTCCCTGTAAGGCACAAGCGGGCGGAGGCGGGAGAAGTGCCCCCTTTGCCTGCCTTCCAAGCCACAGGGTTAATATGATGGAACAAAACCCACAGTATACACCGCAGGATGCTCACATGACAGCACAGCAAACTGTCCTGCAGGGCACAGGACCCTCTCCAACACTCAAGTTTTTCAGTGGGTGCGGCTGAAGGGGCGGCCTGCCATTGGTGTGGTGTGCTGGGGAAATGGCTGGTGTGGAGGCGAGTGATGAGCCAACACCACTGCTGCCAACAGTACTTCGAGCTTCAGTTTCATCACTGCTCTCCTCTGACTGGACTCCACTATCCCCTACTTCACCGTGTAGGCCTGTTCTGAAATGCTTTAGAAAAATATCTGGATTCCCGAAGCGCTCTTCCGCTGCTGCCGCCTCGTGCGGAGTGCCGGTGATGTGAGCCATGTTATTTAGCAGCTTCTCTGCCTTCAGGATCTCCGTGGCGAGGGACATCGGGGACGCCTCCGAGTGCCGCTGAGCCACGTCGTACTTGTGGGGAACTGTCTCCACCTCCTCAGACCCGCAGTCACTTCCGGCTTCCGAGTGAGCCTCGGCCGCCGGCGTTGCGTCTCTGGTCCTGCTGCCGCTTCCCGGGAGGGGCGTGGCGACGGGGGTGGTCTCGTCAACCTCAATGCCTAGCTGGTAGTATTTCGCATATGCTACTGGGTTGTAGATTTCGGGGTTTCCAGAGTATTTCTCGATCTCCTCTTCGTCAAAGCTATGATTGGTAGAGGCCGGGCGGCTGGACGATGCCTCGGAATACAGGCGGTCGAAACTGAGGTTACTGATGGTGCTGGCGCCATCGTACTCATCAAAAGTCTCGGGAGTGGTCCCCCTTGACCTGCTGCAGGAAGCAACCCTTTTGCTGCAGCTCTCCATGTCCGATTTCAGGGCATCACTGGAGGCTGCAACAAAAGGGTTGCCTTCCACGTTTTTTGGATCCATAACAATTGCTTTAGCTTCCTCTGAGATCTCGTCTTCTATGTACTCGTCTTCTGTGTCCAGCTCGTCGTCGAGCTCTTGTTCGGCCAGGAGGAGGCTCTGTACCTCCTCGGAGAGGGTAAAAGCCTTCTCAGGAGTGACTTCCCTAATCCACCTCTTCACGGCTTCGGTCACCTTCAAATCTTTTAAACTATCGCGATCTATACTGCTCTCTCTAGTCCCTCCGTCATTCACAGCACCTTCTGTTCTCGAGTCAACACTAATGTCGCATAGATTTGTGTTTCCTGGAACAATAGGAGAGTCTTGAGCAATTTCCAACTCCTGAGCAGAAATCTTAGAACATTTGATGTCAGGCTCACTGCTGACTGCTACCTCACCCTGACACTTAAGGTTAGCCTCAGCACCCTTAGTTAAAAAATCACAAACTGACTCGACATTGCTTTCGACACAGACGTCACTAGTTTCATTACTGAATGAGACTTCTGCAATGCTCTTACAGTGTACTTCACCATCTGCTGAATCTTCTGTGGCTAATTCTAAGGATTTCTCTGTAGTAGTTACTTTATCTTTTTCCTCTATCAATTCAGAACATTTATGATTTTCGCCTATTTTGTGAGCATCAGCGCTGTCAAAAATATCATTTGATTCTGTAAAACTAATTTTGGAACTCTGAATGTCGACATCGGTACTCACACCACAAAATTTTTCCTCCTCCTTTTCAGTAACTTCAGACTCCGCACCGGACACAGGACTTGCACAAACACTTTCTAACTCTGCACTGTCAGCGAGCGCCAACGTCGTGCAACTTTCAGCGTCAGTGATGTCAGTTACCGGCGCTGACACTTGCGTACTTCTGCAGACATCACTCGCATCTTCACAGCTCACAGGAGTTTGTGAGAGCAGCTCCTCGGCGCCGCTTGCGTCACACTGTTCCGCAACCTTCGGGCAACTGTCGTCGCTCGCCGTTAACGAAACAGTTTCTGCGGTATTTTCTGCTGTTGCTGAAAGGGTGTCGTCGGACGATGAAACTTCTGATAAGTCAAGTTGAGCATTAATACATGTTTCGTTTTTTAAAGTTTCCTGAAACTGACAGGCATCCGAAGAAGCCGCCGCTGTCTCCTCGCCGGCAGGGTCGCCTTGCTCGGCCGCCGCGCCCTGTTCGCGCGAGGTCCGCCGCTCGCGGGCCTCCAACTCGTCCGAGGACAGCTCAGTGGCCGCCGTTTCCTCAGACTCCGAAACCCCGGAATCCGAGGATTCGGTCGAGTCCGACTTCCCGACCTTCGCCCGATCCTGCAGGATTTCTTGGATCTGTCGCCGCTCCGTATCCTGCAGGTCGCTGAAGACCGTCTTGGAGGCGTCGTCGCCGCTCGTTCCCCCCGCCTGCTGCGCCTGCTCGCCCCCCGGAGGAGGCACGGCCTCGGGAAGGTACGGCGAGTGCTGCACGGACACGAAGCCCTCGTCGTGCGCCTGGTGGGGCAGGGGGGCGTGGGCGGGGAAGGGCTGTGGCACGTACGGAAGGCCGTGCACGTGGCACACGGAAGCGGGGTCCAACGGCACCACGTATCCGCCGGGCGTGGCCACGAAGGGCTCCCCCGTGTACAGGTGGGGGTCCAGGTAGCCTCCCTGCAAGCGAGAAACACGACTGTAATATAAAACCGAAGGAGAAACGCAAATGACGCACACTAACAACAGGTGTATGGCAGAAGGAAATGTCAAGGACGAAGAAGCAGTTCACGACACTCACAGATGCGGACTCGGCCTGGCGGCGGCGCTGGTATTTCTTCTTCTTTCTCTTGCTGTAGTTCCGTTGCTGTTGCTGCTGTTGGTGTAGTTGCTGCTGCTGCTGCTGCTGGTCAGCCACGACCACCGGGTATCCGTAGATGACTGCAAAGGAAACGAGAATCGTAAGGAAATAATCTAAAAAAAAACAATAATAATGAAAAAAAGATGCTTAAAAATAAAGCTCCAAATGCATCAGCGCCGAACTAAGCGCCGTAGAATCTCGATGATGGAAAAGCACCACGCGCGCCACTTCCCCGCAGCGCCTCAGCGGAAACTTCCCGCGGAAGCCCTCTGCCCGATGATGTAATTGCCCTCAAATAACAATCCCTGGCGAACTCGCCAATTACATACGCATTCAAACGCGGAAACGCCACTGAATTCTTTTCACAGGGAGTCAAGGCACATATAATCGCCTTCAGATATGCAATATATGAATTCGCCAAGGAAATTACGCGAAAAAACAAAAAAACACGAAAAACATGCATACAAGTAAACAAACAAATGCAAGGACATGCACACGCACACGCGCGCGCGCGGCACACACACGCACACGCAACGCACACACACACGCACACACACACACTTCTCTGCATCACCCGCAAGCAAAAGCCACCCGTGGGACGCAGCGTACCCCAAACATTTCCCTCTAAATATGGAGAGCAGCACTGACAGGAGCGACGGGGTCACTGAGTGCGACCATCACAAATGCGCCACACGCCAACCACTCCCCACTCTCTCCGCTCACTGCACTACACCATTCCTTCGAATTCTCTCCTTACCACATCCAGCCCCAGACTTCCCACAGCTGCTTGTCCAAGCACCAGCCCACGGCAGGGCGAGGGAGGTGCCACCAGGCCTGGATCGCGGCGCACGGCGCTAGTGCCAGCAGCGGCGCGGGTGCCTGCTTGTTGCGGGGCGGAAGCCTCGTCGCTCGCCGCTGACGACGCCCTGCTTCGCTTTCGTTTCCTAGCGCTTGTGGCAGGCAACTCGCACGGCAAGGAAATAGTATGGTAATTCTGAGCTTTTTGTCCTGCCACAATGCTTGAAAGAAAAGGAACTCAAATAGTGCGTCGTAACTTTGCAGTTGACTGTGCTGCCATCTGTTGACCGTCTGAAGAGCCTCGCAGTGTCACTGAATATACAGGCCGGTGCAAACATACTTAAGTTGTCCTTGCACCCGCTCGTTCATTTTCTCTCTCAAATGTGTGTGCATGTTCGTGTATGTGTATGATAATATGTGCAGCGTGTGTGTTTCTGATAGTAAATGAGCAATACACTGTGCGTTCAATACAGTGTACGTATGTATGTGACTGATAGTTTGTGTAATAATAGTATGTGCACAACAGTGTGTGTGTGTGTGTGTGTGTGTAATAGCAAGTGTGTAATACAGCTCGGCTGTACTACAGTGAGCAGTATGTAATCAAAACACAGTCACGTAATGATATACATATATGAACATATTACAGGAGGGAGGGAGAGAGAGGGAGGGAGGAAGAAAGAGAGAGAGAGAAGATAGAAAGAGAGAGAGAAAGAGAGAAAAGAGAGAAAGAGAGAAAAGAGAGAAAGAGAAAGAGAGAGAGAGAGAGAAGAAAGAAAAAGAGAGAAAGAGAAAGAGAGAGAAAGAGAAAGAGAGAGAGAAGAAAGAAGAAAGAAAGAAAGAAAGAAAAAAAGAAAGAAGGGGAGGGGGGAGGGGGAGGGAGAGGGAGAGGGGACAGACCAAATGGCCCTGATTAATAAGCAAAATACAGTCACCAACCAACAAAAATGAACACGAAGTTAGCACAGAAAAAGGGCGCTGTCTACCAAGTCACGAGTGGAGGCAGGAGGGAGGCGCGGGGGGTAGGGCAGCAGGGAGGGAGGGGAGGGGCGGGGGTAGGGAAAGGAGAGGAAGGAGAGGAGAGGAAAGGCGGGGGAAGGAAGGGGAGGCGGGAGAGGGAAGGAGGAGAGGAGAGCAGGGGAGGAGGAGGGAGAGGGGAGGGCAGAGAGAGAGAGAGAGAGAGAGAGAGGGAGAACAGGGGAGTGGGAAGGAGGGCAGGGGAGTGGGAAGGAGGGCAGGGGAGTGGGAAGGAGGGCAGGGGAGGGCAAGTGGGAGTTTACTCTTGGCTCTGAATGACGTCAAAGGACTCATTTTTCTCTGCTATTCGCTCTCTTTATGTCTCCGTTAGTCTTTCTGTCTGTATACCATTTGGTCTTATCATTGCTTATCTTCTAGATCCTTTTAAGATCTTAAAGGATATGTTATTTCTATCTCTATTTATGTGTGTCAGTCTGTCTGTCTGTCTGTCTACCATATGCTCTTACTACAGCTTATTGTTCAGATCCACTTTAGGTTTTGAATTATTTGTTCTCCCTCATCAGTGTGTCTGCTCGTCTGCCTGTATGTCTGTCTCTCTGTCAGCTTGTCTGTCTGCTCACGATTCAGATCCATTCGAGCGATTGAATCTATTTCCTCTATCCCTCTAATGCCCGTTTGCCTGTGTCTCTCTGTGTCTGTGTACCTGTCTGTCCATTTCCTCCGTCCTTTCACCCCTATTTTGGAGCCACCAACTGTAAACAAAACGAGAGCGTGATCGGAAGGGCGTAAAACCTGAACAAAACCCTTCAACAGCAACAAACAGTCAGACGGCCTAGTACATCCGGTAAACATCTTCCAGTTACGTAAATAAAGTATTCTATTACCGAATTATTATACAATTTAGATGCATTGTGTGTGTGTGTGTGTGTGTGTGTGTGTGTGTGTGTGTGTGTGTGTGTGTGTGTGTGTGTGTGTGTGTGTTGTGTGTGTGTGTGTGTGTGTGTGTGTGTGTGTGTGTGTGTGCGTGTGCGCCGCGCGTGTATGTATATATGCCTGACGTATATTTGTACGAGTATGAGTATGTGTATTTGTGTACACATTTGCCTGTGTGAGTATGTGTGAAGCGTAAAGGAAGGAGACGAGAACAGAAGCGAAAAGAGGAAAGGGAAGAAAAGACACGAGGAAGGCGGAAAGGATGAGAAAAAGGGAAAACAATCTTGGGGACAAAAAACCGCAGAGAAAAAGAAAGCCAAACAAAACAGGCAGATACTCCCTCGCCTTCCCTAGCCAAGAGATCGAGTTAAACAGTCGATTATTTATAGCAAGGTTGCAGCACGGGAGGGAGGGAGGGAAGGGGAGGGAAGGGCCACTTTTTTCTCTCTCTCTGACTTTTCTCTCCGCCTCTCTCTCTCTCTCTCTCTTTCTTTTCTCCTTTTACCATTTCTTCTTCTCTCTTTCCCTCTCTTTACCATTTCTTCTCTCTCTCCCTCTCTTTACCATTTCTTCTCTCTCTCCCTCTCTTTACCATTTCTTCTCTCTTCTCTCCCTCTCTTTCTTCTCTCTCCCCCCCCTCCCTTCGACCACATGGGGAACTCGCCGTCTTCTCTTCTTCTCTCTCTCTCTCTCTCTCTCTTCTCTCTCTCTCTCTCTCTCTCTCTCCTCTCTCTCTCTCTCTCTCTTCTCCCCCTCTACCACACCACATGACCTGGGAGGTACTTGACTCTCACCCGCCCCGAAGCCCCTCGAAGCGCGTGAGTCACTCTCCTCCTCCTCCTCCTCCTCCCCCTTCTACTACTGTCCGGACTTTACTCCAGAGGCAAACGATCTAAGCAAAGAAGTAAAGAAAAGAAGGGAAACAAACAAAAGTATCAAACGATAACGACGGCGCCATTCCCCATCCGACCGGTCCGAACGCGCCATTCCTCGGCTCTCTCGCGCGTCCGTCGGCAGCCCGTCGGCAGCCCGTCGCCACCTGCTCCCCGTCTCCGTCCCGAAGCCGTTCATAAAGCGCGAAGTGGGAGGCGATAAGCCCGAGGGAAATGGGCTTTACACCTTTCCGTCGCCGGGTCTGGTGTCGCGGGGTCGGCGCGGGTACGACAGCGGGCCTGGCAGTTGGAACACAGCGACGAAATCCACGCATTAAGTGAGCTTTCGGAGAATCGCGGACAGAAAAGGGCAACGGAAATTCGTCCATTTTTAAGAGGGACGCTCAAAATAAAACGTCCCCAACGCTAGCCGACGTCCGCGCTGTGCAGACGGCGGAGAAAACTGTAGCAACAACTGATCCCAAGTCCTTATCTAACGATTCCTTCATCATTAACGACAGAGACACCCATTCAGGCCTAGTTGTGTATCTAATTGCATATGCATTTATTCATCAGTTGGCATCCATCCTGCTCTTAAGCTCCATTATGCAATCCATTCGAAAAAATGCCCCCCCCCCCTCTCGCCGCTGATTCATAATCGACAAGATACAAATTTCCCGCGACGTCCCTGGCACCCTCGGCTCCGCGCGCCCTTCGAGAACCTTCAGGTCCCACTCGCCAGGGACCTCCGGATTTCAATTGACAGAGCAATTCATCCGTTAAGTGCTGTTATTAGCTGCCATTGCAGAGGGAGAAAAGATTTCTATAAAGTGACGCGGACGACTAAGGCCCACGGACATAGCGGTGAGGAGGAAGGAGGAAGGAAGGGGAGGAAGGAAGGGAAGAAGGAAGGGGAGGAAGGAAGGGAGGAGAGAAAATTGGAAGGAAGGAGAAGGAAGAGGGAAGAAAATTGGAGGAAGGGAGGGAAGGAAAGAAGGGAAGAAGAAAGGTGGAGGAGATGGGCCCAAGAAGGAAGAGGGAGATAGGAAAGAAGAGAACGGAGTCAGACGAAAGGGAGAAGAAGAAAAGAATGAGCCGAGAGTGGAAAGGGAAAGCCCAAAGAGAGAGAGAGAGAGAGAGAGAGAGAGAGAGAGAGAGAGAGAGAGAGAGAGAGAGAGAGAGAGAGAGAGAGAGAGAGAGAGAGAGAGAGAGAGAGAGAGAGAGAGATGGAAAAAACTAAGAAGCTCGCCCTTACGAAAGACCTGACGAGGCGAAGGGGGGCGCAACGACAATTCAGGGGCATCTCGAGGCGACGACTCAAGGCGCTCGACGAAATGCCAAGCTCCACTATCTATCACTCTCCATTTATTATTCGTTATCACTCACTATCTATCACTCTCCATTTATTATTCGTTATCACTCACTATCTATCACTCTCATTTCACTCGTTATCACTTACTATCTATCATCGCCATTATCACTCGTTAACACTCACTATCTAT